AATGATGATACGTTAATGATAGTATATCTCACATATTATTTCTACGATAATAATAACTATCGTATCTAAAAAATACTTCTATAAATCGATGTTTTTCTTCTTTTATCTTTTGTTTTTTTTTTTTATTTTTGTTTTGTTTACATCGTTTCTATATACTTCGTTAGATTCCTATCGTTAGGAAACTTTATTTTATTTTATTTTTTTTTACTAACGACGATAGTTAACGCGACCCATTTTTGGTGATAATATACTATCAACGAGAATTTACTTGTATTTGTTTGTTTTTTTTTGTCCCCCTTTTCTTCTTTTCTTTTCTTTTCATTTTTTTCTTTTTTATTTCCCATATATAAAAATGATCCGTCAGAGAATAATTTGTTTTAGGCTGTTGAAAAATGTGTCTCGGGAAAAGCAATCATAGTTTTCTTTTTGTTTAACTGTTACAAGAATTTTCAGATGAAACAAATTCCAAATATTTCTTATCTTTTTTTTTTTTTTTTATCTTTCTCACGTATTACATACATTATATATATACACTCATACATACACTATGTCTCTCTCTCTCTCTCTCTCTTTCTTTATTTTTCTTTTTTTTTAAATATTCTTTCTTATTATTAGCTACAAATATATTTTAATATAAAGTATATTAATTTGTTTAATAAACCAAATCATGCGAGAATTGAAAGGATGTATAAGAGAGAAGGAAAATATGTGAAAGGATATTATAAGGGTAGAAAAAAATCTTTGACCATACCATAACCATGGTGTATGTGTATGTGTGTGTGTTTGCGTGTGTGTTATGTTAGAATAATTATTTTTGAACAAAATTATCAAGATTGATAATTATGATGTAACTTTGATCTATTTCTGATCATCTATTTGTTGCTATCTCTCTCTCTCTCTCTCTTTCTTTCTTGTGTGTATTTTCTTTCTTATTATCTTTCATTATTTTGTTTTTGTGTCTCTCTTTTTTATGGGGTATCGTTACTGATATGACATCGACTCGATCATGCAATCTCTTGGGTCTTTTAATAAAGAAATAGGTGTTAGTTTCTTACTTATATTACTTAGAGTACTTACAGACACATACACACACACACACACATATATATATATATATATATTGGGTGTAACTTTATCACTTGAAATATTCCAGTTATGTTTGCTTTTATAACAAAAAAAAAAAAATAAAATAAAAAGAAAGTGTTCATATAAATGAAGGTTACATTTGTCCATAACGTTGGTATTTTATAATATAAAAATATATATATATATATATATACCCTGGTAGTACAAAATATTGAAAAAATATTGAATACACGTGTATTTAATATTAAAAAGAGATTTAATGTCTTTTTAATATTAAATACACATGTATTCAATATTTTGTGCTACTAGGGTATATAATATAAATAATAATTTAATATAATAAAATATTATATATATATAATTTAATATAATAAAATTATTATATATAATTTAATAATTATAAATTATATAAATATAATATAAATATGATATAAATTTCCAATTAAAAAAAAAAAAAAAATAAATAAATAAAAAAACTATTATGTGTTGTATTTAATGATAGATATATACGCGTATGTGATACAAATATAATATAAACAAAAAATAATATATATATATATATAATATAAATATAATATATATATATATATATATATCTATATTAAATATATAAATAATTATAAAATTATTAAAATAAATTAAATTAAAAAATTAATATAAAAAAAAAACTATGATTTGTTA